AGCGAGATTTTGATATTTTTTGCTTGCGAGAAAAAAAAATTATTTTTTGGTCATTAGATGTATCATTAAATCAACTGGAGTTACTATAAATTTTGTAGGCTCGCCCATCGAAAACTGGATGGGTACCAGGTTCATATTTTGAATCGCCTGCAGAGTATTATAAGCAAAGACGAAGAACACGGGAGATCGATGGAGGTGACTTAAATTTGACCGAAGAACAGGAGGCAATTATGAAAAGAGAGTGCGCAAAATTTATTATTTATTTATCAAAAAATAACAAGAACAAGAAATTTTGTTGTTTATTAAGCTTAATTCAAGGAGGAGCAATTAAGTTTGGGAGTTTTAAAGGGAATTTCTGCATAAAATGCTGCTTCACGATGTACAAAAAGGTTGCTTTTGGTCAACAGTTGGTGGAGTGCATAATAGTAGAAGTGAATTTGTTTTGACCTCATTTCTGTCATCAAATCACCTATCGATACTAAACAATAATTGTTGCTGAGCACACTTCCGGCTATTTTGGGTAAAATTCAACAAATTCTTCGCTTTTAGAGCGAAATTAATCTTTTTTTTTTTGGTATTATCCTGTTTTTTCTCCAACTCTTTTTTCATGAATCGATTTCGTCCTCACTCTTTCTTTTTTTTTTTTTTTTACATGGAACGAGAAAACGAAATACCGAACTTTTGTTTAAAATTTGTCTAACCTTTTTGTAATCATAACAATTCATTATGAATGATAGGGGAATTACTTGTTTTTCTGGTTTTTCTTCTTTTTGTTAGTATTTCACCGGGTTGACAATCTAAGGGCGTTGAAGAGAATATTTCTGTTGCACATCCATAGACGGTGATCAAAAGGCAAAGAAAAAAAAAAAAGAAAAAGGAAGGAAATTTTTTTTAGTAGGAGGAAGTTAAATGCTGCAGGTTTTTTTGTACTTGGTCTCAACTTTAGATCAGAAGTGGTCAACATAAAATACTAGTAATCTGACTAAACAGATAGAAGTCTGTCAGGAACAAAAAAAAAAAAAAGTGAAAAATCAGGTGTCGTATTAGAAAGGGGAATAAGTTTTTTTTTAAGTGATCTATTTGATGTTTCTTTTTTTTCCTGGTATTGGAATTCTTTTTTTTTTTTTCTGAGAAAACAAAACATTTCACGGCAAAAGCGTTGGCGTCAAGAACAAAAGCATCAGAGCGCAGATAAGTAGATAGAGGATTGAAATGAACAATGGATATTGTGGCAATCGTATGCTGGGAAGTCTATAGAGAGCATTGGTATTGTGTTATGTGTGTGGTTGTTACGTTTAGAAAAAATTATTTTTTTCTGCTGGGATATTGTTGGCAGGGAACAAATATTACAAACAAAAATATAACAACGTCAATTATCTTTAACGTCTCGTTGAATATCATTGAAAGAAAAAAAAAAATTTTTCTTTCGCTTCTGTTGCCGATGCTGTTGTTTTTGCTGCTGCTACCGGTACTAGTGTTGGATAGTTTTCTTAGCTAGAAGCTAGTACTTTTGATACTAAGACTTTTTTTGCACTTTTTACTACCTTCAAACCAGGATCCTTTACACCCCGCATATCACCTCACTTTACTGCATGGCGTATCACGATCGATCAACAACAGCATTTTCCACTAAACTATCCTACCTCATCCCACTTCTTCTTCCCACATACACAAATTCTTTCATGATTCTGTCAGTCTACTAGATAAAACAACGGCTATATAGTCGTTAAAATAGCAGAAAATAAAGAAAAAAGTTAATGGAAGTTAAGTGGGACTATAATCTACAGTTTCGGAAGATAATACGAGATTTTTTTTACCGGTTGTAAAAACAAAAAGAATCTTTAAGAAATCGCATTTATTGTTACATCTATTGTACGGCATTTAGCAAAAAAAACTTTGTTTTTAAACGAGAACCCTTGTTACTGTTTAGTAAAACATAAAAAATTCTTCATTGTTGTCATCTCTATGAAGTATAAGAAAATTTTGTAAGCAACAGGAAAATAAAGTTAAAAATTTATCTTTTTTTTTTTTGTTTTTTTTGGAAATGATGGGGCTTTCAAGATGAAAAGCGTTCGTGGCACGCTTAGTTTTTGTAAAGCGTTTCAAAACTGTAGTGATAGATGTTGGTGGGGAAAGCAGGCAGAAGGGGAAGGAAGGGGAAGATATCGACTAAGGATCTCTGATGATTATCGATTTTGTTAGGAATGCAAACAGACTAGTCAGCTGTACCGGCTCCTTCGTCTACTGTTCGAGTAGCTTAGGCTAGACTGTGCAACAACTAGATGGGTGGTTTACTCACACAATTTCTTTATGCCAATTTACAAATAAAAAAAACTACCTTTTGGAAGGGGGGAGAGGTAAAGAGGGATTATGAAAAAGCATTAAAATGTACTGTTCTTTGATTAATTTAGCCAAGTTTACCAAGATCTTCTTCGTTCTGAGGAAGACTTTGTTGCTGAATTACGGCACTTAGTGGAAGATTATGTTAGCGTGCTGGAAACAGCTCATCTACCAAAAGAGGTGGACGAAGTACGAAATGAGCTGGTGATGAACCTGAAAGAATTGTGCAACTTTCATGCAAAGTAAGTAAAAAAGAATCAATTGGATTGATATATTGTAAAAAAAATCACACATAAACAGCAAAGGAACTGTATAACTGAAAACAGAAGAAATACACATTTATAGTAGAACAGTTGTGATAAAATACTTTACTACTCTTTTTTTTTTGTTTAACACACTCAGCTAAGAAACATTTGAGATAAAGCTGTCAAAATTATTTCAAAATTTCAATATTTTTGTAAAAACAGATGATTGGAAACTTTTTTTTTTTCAGTTTTTCGCTAAAAAAAAAAAGCATATTTTTGACTTTAAGATTATAATATTTTATAAAGATAGTTGTGTTGGTGTATCAATGATTGATGCTATTGAAAAATTGGAAATTAATAGTCATAAATATAATCTATTTTTGGTATTCTACAAGAAATGTAATTGAAAAAAAAAATGAAAAATTTTTTAGTGTAATGCTAAAAGGTCTGCAGTATTACTCGGATGATCCTGGCAAAGTTGGACAAACTTTTGTCCGTTTAGAACGAGACTTGGAATTGCACGTTCAATTCCATACACAACTACCAAAAGTTTTGCAGTTACTTACCCAGCAACCAATACAGCAGTTTTTACAGGTAATCTATAAAATTTTCCTTCTTTTTTTTTTTTTTTCTGCTGTTGTTGTTGTCTTTTTTTGT